AAAACAGCAAGCCAGCGTCCCTGGTGTCATCATCACATCAGAGGGATCGAAACCCCAGGCCGCTGCTTGTGTTACAGCCCGTGGCAGCACTCCCCAGAGTGTGTGTCCCCAGGGGATGGGGTGCCCGCCCGGGGGGGCGGGCGGGAGCCGAGCCAGCAGCTGCCCTGGGAAGCCACGCCAGCTGCCAGAGTGCCTGCCCCTGTAATCACAACATCCTCTAGATGTCATTTTTCTACAGCACGCAATTTTGTGTGGGTGTTTATTTGCCTGGATGGTGTCTTTCAGCTGAAAGCATCTAGGAGAGCTTCCTAGCCTGTGCTCAGGCTGCAGGAGGGGGCAGTGGGACGGGGAGGAGAGCTGCCTCGCTGCTAAAATACCTGTAGTTGGGGCTAATCAGAAAATCTCCATTGGAATGTTGACAAATTGATGGGATTTCTTTTTTTTTTTTTTTAATTCTTCTTTTTTTGGTGCGCTTAAGGATAAATACATCTTGTGTTGAAGCTGTCTGCAAAATGTACAAGGGGCTTCTAGCAAACATCTCCTTTTTTAGGTTTCATCCAAAATTGTGAGCCTCATGCAGAGAGTGTCAGTTTTAGGAGCCAGTTTTTTTCCTTAATGAAAAATTGTCCTTTGCAGAAGGGGGGGAAATGGCTTTGAATCCTTTTGCAGTGGGCTGAGCCACAGTTCCTCCTCTGTTCATGGCCCGTGGTGTCTTCAAACCTGGCAGGGCACCTTCCCTGCTGCCCATCTCCCAGGGGTGCTGGCAGGTGCCAGCCACGTGGCTTTTTGGAGCAAGGCTGGAACTTCCAGGCTCTTTAGTGCCTTTGCACATGGCAGTCCTCTCCGCACCTCCAGCTTGCTTGAGGGCATCACCTTGTGCAGCACTGCTACTTCTAACCCATCTTTTCATCACCTGCTGTGCCAGCATGCCCACGGGTGTGCTTAAAGACACCGGCTTTGCCCTGAAAAGGCACTGGACCTGAAAGGGAACCCAAAACAAGCATGAATTTGGGAATACCTGGTAAATGTGGTTAGCTCTGCCCCCCATGGGGACGTTAGGGGCGGCGCAGACTTGGTTTGCTGTGAGGGAAGGGGTGCCAGCGAGGGTGGGTTGGGGGAGGTGGTGGGCTCGCTGAATCGCGAGCTGAAGTCTGTAATTCTTTGCAGAAGCTCCTATTTTAAAACCTGATCAGGAAAGATGCCACTCCACATCCCCAGGGAGCATTAGAGCAAGGTAATATAGAGGAGATGTCTCCTTTCTTTCTTTCTTTCTTTTTTTTTTTTTTTTTTTTGACTCAAGCTTCCCTGAGAGAGTAATTAAAAAGTGCAAGTTCCAGGTGCTAACTGAGAGGATTTAGTCTGAAGAATGAAACGCTTGGATACCCCCACGCTTCTACCTTTTCCTCAGAGCGTCTGGTATTTTGACAATGGCTTGCTCTGGGCAGGAGCAGGGGTGGATGAGCAGAGAGATCCCTCTTACCTCCGTCTCTTTCTAGGACCCCTGGCAGCCGAAATACAGGGGTGCGGGATACCCGCTGTTAAGACAGGAGAGTTTTCAGCAGCAAAAAGCCTCACGATGCTGCTGCGTGCCACTACTGCTTCAGTAATTCATCCTGCCCTGTGCAAGCTGCTGGGTGAGGAGGGAGGCAGCGATAGGGATGCACATCTGTTGTGCCTTCGCTGGGTGTTTTGCCCCGTGTGGGACGGGGCCGCACCCCCACCCCAAACCTTTGGGGAGCAGGTAAAAGGGGCAGCTCTGGCCAGGAGTCCCCAGCTGCCTCCAGCCCCTTGGGGTGCTGCAAATCCTCTGCCACCCCTACCATCATCACCCTTTGGGCATGAGAGTGACTTGCACCTCTTTTTTTTATTTTATTTCCCTCCCTCCCAAGTCTCCAGCGATGACATCTCACTACAAGAAGCCTGGGTTTAAGCAGCCCTGCAATGATGCTCCCTCCCACCCCCGACCACCTGTGTCAGCCCCGGGAAAGGGGTCCCGCTGGCAAACCCCTGGCCCTCGCCGCCCGGGATGCGTGACGTGCAGGCAGGGTGACTGATCCACAGGCAACTTTGGGTTATGGGGGAGGGTTAAATGCTCAGCAGGCAGCCCCGGTGAGCGCTGAAGCCGCTGAGCGGCATGGCTGGGTTTTGTGCCTCATCGTTTACAAACACACCCCTCGTGCTTAAAAGCGAGGAAATGGATAGTTAAGCACATCATTAATCTTATCCAGCCCACATAATCAACAATCAATTAATTCTTCTCCGGGCAGAAGAGATGCAGATTGCGCCGCAGCCTGGGCACTGGCAGAAGGAGCCCGTTTCCGCAGGGAAAGCTGAGGCAGAGCCTCGTCCCGCGCTTGTCCGAGGTGCTATTGCAGATCCAGATCTTGCCAGTTCTGGGAAACAGCAGCAGCCCTTAAATCAAGGCAAACATTGAGCTTGCCATTAGCGGGGTGATGTACTGCTCCCTCCTGGGCTCGAGCCCTCTGTCCGAGCCTTACGCTCGGACTGCACGTTTACCATCTCAAGGATTATGGATCCCACGCTGCACGGGTCTCTATAAATGGTTTTGGCTTCATCTTCGGTGTGAGATTCATGGTTCAGCTCCCCCAGAAGGAGGGGAAACATGGGCAGCAGCAAGAGAGGAGGGCTGCAGCTCGTGGCAGCTTTGGGAGGAAGGAGAAGGCATCAGCCTCCCCTGAAACTGTGGGAGACTTTAGGCAAGCACAGTGTAATTACAGGAGAGAAAAGCTAATTGGTAATAATTAAGAGCCACGTGCCTGCAGATTACAGGAATGTATGGATAAGTGAAGTGATAAAAGAAACCTGAGGACACTGGGTTGCAGGGTGTACTCTGTTCAGATATTTTGACAAAGCATCGCTTGGATTAATCGTAATTAAAAACTAACAGACAACTTCAACTGACCAACGAACGTACCCCTGTGCTTAAAACCGAGGTGTGTTCATAGCACTGCAACTCCTCTGTCTTCCTCCCTCCCTTTGCCGTCCCCTTCCATCAAAATACAGGCGGCCGTTCCCTGGTACCCCTGCCTTCTCCTTCCTGCTCCTCCAACAAGCCCGGCACGTTTCTGAACGTGTCCTCCAGCTCTGGAGCCCACAAGTCATCCACTGCACGTCTCACGGATGCTAACGCTTGCTGGCAGGAGCTCAGTGCCGCTGGGACATCGCCGGGAGGTGCTGGTGGGAAGGGAGAGGTGAAGAAGCGGAGGTCCCCCTCGAAGTCTTGGTGTCCACAGGTGGTTGTGTCTCCTGCTGGTGTAACTCTGTGCTTCCCCGTGCTGTTACGGGGCATGGGGCTGCGTGCGTGGCTCCGGGAAAGGTCTGCATCCAGCTGCCTTCTGCCCTGGCATCCCCCCTGAAGCCCTCATGCGCCCACCCCGCGTGTCTGGCTGCCTGTCTGCATGAGGTGGTGGGTTATGGCCCTAAGTGCTTCCGTAAGAGGCTGCACGTCTGGGGTGGCTGCGGCAGGGTGAGGAGGACTCAGCAGTATCCCTCGTGGTGAGGAGGAGGAAGGGCAACGTGAGATGGTGTCTGGTCCCTCAGGGATGACACGTTCCCACTCGGCTGTTAGTGCTTTTGGAAAGAGACAGTTCATCGCAGCCAGCTGTGTGCCTCAGGCAGGGGAAAAAAAAAAAATTCCCCTGAATAATAAAATTGTAAAATATTGTTTTGATTTATCCTTTTTTATCATCTTTTAATATCTGGAAAGACTGTGTGAGCAAGAGGCCTTCATGAGTTTTGAATGACAGGTTAAAGGGCTCCAATAAAGATTAGATGGTCCACTATCTCCCAAGGAAATTGCATCAAAGTGGTTACTCCTGCTTGCTCCTATTAATTTCCTCTTCGTGGCTGCTAGGAGCTGCCTCATATCCTGATGCAGCAGACAGGGGCTAAGAGGCACTTTCCATTATCTCAATCATCGCCGTGTTTATGAGACACTTAGGGTGTTTCTCTGCAGAGCCATGCCTTGGAGGTGACAGCATCACGGGGGCAGAGCCGGGAGCCAGATGGAGGTGGGACCATCCTATATGTGAGGCCAGGAACAGTCTCCCCGCAGCCAGGTGGAGGACATGGATGGAAGTCTGGTCCCTTGGGTACATGTGCTAAAATACAGATGTTCCCTTCTGCAGCCTGTGGTTTTGTAGGGGTCACCTGAGGGTTTTGTTAGGCGCCAAGGATGGATGAGCATCCATTCATCAGCGCTTAATTGGTGAGGACTGGTGGGGTGGGGCAGGGATGAGGGACCCCATCTTGGTCACTCCATTTTCACCCTTGATTAATGAAACCTCCCCCCCCATCACTGATTAAAGTCTCGCTGTAACTGTAACTGGAGCGTCTTCTCGTTTGTGAATTAGTTTCTATTTCCTGCTTGAATGAACTCAGAAGCCAAAGGCCAGGCAGATCATTAGCCCCAGCCCTGGGTTGCAGGGGATTAATGGGACGGACCCGTAAGACACTGTCATGAGCATCACATCAACTTTTTAATTAAATATTCAAATTTTGCATGGAAAAAAAAAAAAAATGTGAGACCTGAGCCGTGCTGTTGGGGTGGCGGAAGGGCACGTTTCGGATCCACAGAAGGGGAGCTCTGTCCTGCCCTGCGTGTCCGTGTCCCCGTGGGTGCTGCTGGGGAAGGGGGGCCCGCAGCCCCCGCCATCCCCCTGCCTGGGTACGAGCGGTGGGGAGTGAAGCAGCTGCTGCAGCCCCCTTGCTCTGCCTGGTTAATTACTCTTATCGTTGCTGTGTGATTACAGTGTTTTCCTGGTGGCTCCAGAAATATGGCCAGCGTAGAAAGTTATGGCCATCCTAGCTTTGTAGGAAGGCCTTACCCCGTTTAGGTGTGAAGCTTTTCCGTGTCTTCTTTCTCGTGTGTCTTTTTTTTTTCTTTTTTCTCTCTGCCCCGTTTCAAGGACAGGACCTGCTTTCGCCAATACCCCGGGACGGTTCGGCACCCAACCGCTTTCCTCTCCTTTCCCTTGCAGCCTGCCCAGCGGGGACGTTCAAGGCCAGCCAGGGCGCGGGGGTCTGCACGCCGTGCCCCTCCAACAGCCGCTCCACCGCCGAGGCCTCGCCAGTCTGCACGTGCCGCAACGGGTACTACCGGGCGGATTTCGACCCGCCAGCAGCTGCCTGCACCAGTGAGTAGCAGATCAGGGTTGGCAGCTGGGGGGGGGGGGGAGCTGCAGGGTCTCACTCCCCTCTGCTGCCGGGGAAGCGGCAGGGGTAAAGTCTCAACCCACGAGCTTTTTTTGCCTTACTTGTCCTGCTGGCAGCCAGCCGAGGTCAACCCACCGCAAGGGTTTAGCTTTGCAAAGGGCTGGGGTGCCCGTGGCGGGTACCCATCCCTCTCCGCAGCTGCCTCCACGGGCGATAAAAACGCTCCTCGCGCCGACACGAATCCCTTCGCTGTGCCACGCTCATGATGTCGCGTCTCCCTTTGCTTTGCTTTCCGGGGACGCTGGCGTGGCACGCACCGAACAATGAGCGATGGGACGGCCCCACAACCCGCCTCTCTGGCAGCCGTTTGAATTTATGCTTCACCTGGGCGGTGGCGGTGATGGCAGGGAGATAGTCCCGAGGATACATTAGAATTTAAAGTTATCTGCTGTTGCTGTCTTGTTCATAGTCTTGCAGATGGAATATTTTTTTATAGGGGGAAAGAGTGGATTAGGCATTGGTATTCAGCGTGGCATTGCGTGCAATGCATCGCTGCTCAGCTGTCTGCCTGGGATGGCAGCAGCGGCCTCAAGCCTGTCTTTTGGTGAAAAAAGAGCCCAGGATTAAAGAAAGATCTGCTGTGCTCTTCAGCCCCCTGGGAACATGAGTCTCAGCCTCAACTCCCCCCTCAAAATATGCTCCAGACCCTTGAATCAGCCCGTCAGGGAGCTTTAGCACAAGGATGCTCCACACCCTTGGTACTGGGCAGCGCCCGAAATGCATGTTGGAAACGAGGAAAGGATTTGCGTGTTTTGCTGGATCAATTGAGCTGTCAAGACTGGAGGTAGTCAGCAGGTAGCAGAACTGCAGATAATCTATATATCTTTATTATGTCTCGTTACATAGCTGATTTACAGTATTGCTGCGCTATAGGAATACAGTATAAAAAAGTCTATTTCCTGATTTTTATTTCTTCTTGTCGACGCTTAATTTTACAACGCTCTAATTTGAGGTGCCAGCTGTTCACCAACAAAGTTTCTCCATGTTAGAGGAATAAATAAGAGCGTGGAGCTGCAGGAGCTGCCCTGAACCAGAGCCCTTCCTGAGGGCGATGCCTGTGTGTGTGGGTCCTGCCCTGTGCCCCTGGCGGAGGAGGGAAGGGGCTGCAATTAAAGGGGGAGGAACGTGGGGAGACAGTGGTTTGCTGCTGAGCCAGGGAAGAAAGATGGTTTTCTACTTTTTGCTTTAAAAAAAAAAAACCAGCTTGAAAAGATATTGTCTGCTTCAGTTACAAAGAGAGGGATTGGATTAAGGTTCCTGAGATAGGCTGCAGCTTTTTGGGGTAATTCGCTGTTTGTTGATCCTTGTCCTTGGCCTTTGTGAGTCTTCCAGTCTGACCCCCCCCCAGGGAATTGGGGTCCTTTCCCCTGCTCCTTCTCTCAACGTGTCCCTTATCCCCCATCTCCCGTAAACCCCCTTTGACATCTCCACTATGTGCTGCTGGGATTTTGGGGGAGCCTCACAGCGGGATGTCTGTGGTGCCTCGAGGCCATGAAAGGCCTTTCCAGCAAGGATGCTGCACTGGCGACTGCTCCCCGACACGCAGGTTTACTCCACTAAAGGGGATAAGAATTGAAGGGAATTTTTTAATTTTAATTTTTTATATATATATTTTTTTTTAAGGCTGTAATCTTTCTAGGCATTTTAACACTACGCTTTCATCCGCAGTATCCGCGGCAACGGCTCAGAGAGGCTCCCACAGTGCCTGGCTGGGTGCGACTAGGGAGCCAGGGGAGAGGGCAGCGCAGGCAGGGAGCTGGCCAGGGGTGGCCACCCACAGCCCCCCCTGGGCTAGCTGGCAGCGGTGGCCAGAGCAGGGTGTCAGCTGAAGGTCCTCCATGCAGGATGACCTCTCCGTCCCACCAGCCACGCCACCCCTGTGCAGACGAAGCCGCCTCTGTCCACCCCATCCCATCCCCAACCACTAAAGGGGCGAATTTATCTGCAGCCAGTAATGATGTTTCCCCAGCACACACACGTAGAGGGCTCCCCTGGGATGTTTTTCCCCAAGACAGAGTGTGCTTCACTCTCTTAACCTTTCCTCGCAGGTCAAGTCCTCCATCATTTTTATTACTCCCCACATTGTGGCAAAGTCCTTTTTCTTCTCGGAAGCGCAGCGCCGAGCCCCGCCGACACGAGTAGTTAATCACTCTCCTTATTTAATATAACCCAGCAGCCAGATTTTGTGGTCTTGGCTGCGGAGCCATCCCGGCTAACCCCAAATCCTTCCCCAGACCTGGACAGATGCCTCGATGATTCTCTCCCACCTGGATTCCTCCTGCATTGCTCTCTATGGAGTCTGGCCCCGTTCCGCCAGCACGTGCAGTCGGAGCTATGTTCAATTCCCGTCCTCTGAATCATTTGCAATGACTCCCAGCAGATCTGATCAACGTGATCTTGATCTCTTGTCCAACATCTGAGCTGCTCGCAAACCAGCGCGCAGTGCTGGGCACGGAGGAGAGCCATCCTCAGTGCTGTTAAATACCCGGGCTCCCAACTTGAGATATTGAACTGTTAATAACCACTTCCCATTTTTGATTCTCTTTTGCCCACCGCTTCCCTGTTTCTCCGCGGTGCTGACTAACTGCTGTTTCTCTCACTGTGATAATCTGTTTGAGGTGCTTCTCCATATGAATGCTGGAGCTATCTTGGTGTCCCCCAGTCATTAAAATGGATCCATCTTGGCAGATGGATCTGTGTGCACTATGCATGGGGGTTTTTTTTTGAGAGTAAGTGGGTTTGTGGCATGGGTGTCCCCATCCCCAAGTGTGAAACCCCTCTGTGCAGGTGGTCAGAGAGGGGGGGGCCAGCATTTCTGGTAGGGAGAGCCTGACCCCGAACTGGGCAAAGCCATGGAGAGCAAATCCCTCCTGAAGCAGGAGGTGATGGGTAGATCGACAGACGGAGTTGTGGGCTGTCCTCCTTCCATGCTGGAGCCACCCGTAGAGCTGTGTGCGACGTTTTGGGCAAGGACCCAACTCAACTGCTCTCCTTTCCTGCAGGCGTCCCGTCCGGCCCCCGCAACGTCATCTCCATTGTCAACGAGACATCCATCATCCTGGAGTGGCACCCGCCGCGCGAGACGGGGGGTCGGGACGACGTCACCTACAACATCGTCTGCAAGAAGTGTCGGTCGGACCGGCGCGCCTGCTCGCGCTGCGATGACAACGTGGACTTTGTGCCCAGGCAGCTGGGGCTGACGGAGACCCGGGTCTTCATCAGCAACCTGTGGGCACACACGCCCTACACCTTTGAGATCCAAGCTGTCAACGGGGTTTCCAACAAGAGCCCCTTCCCTCCGCAGCACGTCTCGGTCAACATCACCACCAACCAAGCTGGTGAGTCCTGGGACGGTGTGGTAGCGGGGGTTTTAAGCTGTACGCTACCTGTTGCAGTCTCTGCATGGGAGGAAGCTCTTGAGGCTGAAGGAAGAAGCTCCTGCAGTGTGAGTGGTGTGTGATGGCTGGGGTAAACTTGCACCCAGCCCTGGGTGGGCTGGGGGAAAGGCAGAAGGTGGGGAGAAAGGCCAAGAAAAGAGAGAGAGAGAGAGAGAGAGAGAGGGGGTGGGGGACGTGGAGGGGGTGCCTGCACCCTGGGCAAAGCTAGAGCTGGGTTGTGGGAGAGAAGTGGATGAGGACTGGTAACGGCTTTGTATCCCCCTCTAGATTGCTTGGGAATGAAAAAGCATCACCATTGCCTCCCCTTTCCCAAGTGGGAGCAGGGAGATGGGGTGAATCCAGCCTCGAAATGCAGCCTGGCTGCATCACAGCACGGGGGGAGCAGCATCCCAGGGCTGAGTTCAGGCTCCATCTCCTCTGGCACATCCCCCTCTCGTTGTTTTCCCCTTCTCCCCTTTTCCAGGCTTCCCTGCCCCTTTCCCTCCCTCTTCCCAATCAGTCATCGGGAGCTGAACAAGCAGCTCTGGACCAAGCTGGGATGCTGGTGGGGTTGGGTGGACCCAATCTGGGGCTGCAATAAGGAGAACAAGAAGCAGAGGGGATGGAAACCTGTCTGTTTTGGGCAGAGAAAGGGAATGGTAATTTCTGCTTTGTGCCGAGCATGTAACGCAGGCAGCCTTTGCCAACCTGCTCCCTCGGGAGAGCAGGAGACAGAAACCTGGTGTAAATATTTTAGTCTCCCGGCTCTGGGGAATACAAATCTACGCTTGTGCCTGGCTGGCACTGCTGTCTCCTGAACCGTGTGCGATCAAACCTGCCTCTGGTCTCCAAGCCTTTTCTCCTGGGGTGGGATTTTTGGGGTGTTTCTTTGCTCGTCTCTCACTCTCGGGCTGCCCGGGAGCTGGGAACATCCAGCACTCCTGGATTTGTCTGTCCGTACCTCAGCGCTCCCTCTTTGTTTTGCAAAGGCTGAATATCAGCGTGGAAATGCTCCCAGTGCTGCGGGATGGGCTGCAGGGTATAACCTGATGGAAACGCATCAGGCGTGTTAAGGGGAGGATTGGTGCTGTCCCTTTTTTTGCCTCGTAAAATCCCTTTGGCTTTGCAGCAGGTTTTTCCAGCAGCTTTCCCCGCGCAGGGCCGGATCCAGGCTGGTTGGTGCATCTCACCCGCAGGGCTTCTCCCCGCCCCATCTGCCTGCATGCCGCTATCCACGCTGACGGGGCGGGGAACGCAGCAATTAACAAAACAGCAATCAAGCTAAGTGTTTAATTTCAGCCCACGAGCATCTTCTTGGAGTGGATGTGGAGAGATTAAAAAAATAAATACAGGATTAAATACGCTGGGTAAACAAAGGTGGTACCAAACTATCGACATCTCCCAGTGCGGCCACGTGGAGTGGGGCTCCCGCCGCCCCCAGATTCCCTCCATGGCGTGATCCTGTGCCCCAAGCTGGTTGTGCCAAGCTCAGCTCTGCCCCAGGCTCACACCCAGGAGGCATTTTCCCTGCCCAGCGCTGCCTGCACCCTAGGCACGGTGAGGAGGAAGAGGGCAGAGGGGGCTGGACAGGGAGCTGACCTTGCAAGCAGGTCATGCCAGTGCCACTTGGGGTGCAGAGAGACTTGAGTGCCTTTCTTGGAGGCTTTTAGTGGGATTAAGTGAAGGATCAGGGCCATATTGGCTGGCTCTGACCCTTTCAAGTGTAACTTGGTGGGCAAAAAGCCTTTGGAAAAGTGGCTCCTGGCTAATTTAGTGGCTCGGTGTCCTCAATGGTGGAAGGACAGTGGTGTTGCTGCTGGGGGGGTGCTTGGTTCCAGTGATGCTCGGCTTTGGGATGCTGGGCTCCAGGGATACTTGGCTCCGGGGGAGCTCGGCTCCAGGGGTGCTGTGATCTGGGGATACTTGGCTCCGGGGGAGCTCGGCTCCAGGGGTGCTGTGATCTGGGGATACTTGGCTCTGGGGGTGCTGGGCTCCCCAGCAGGTACAGGGCAGCCTGGGGATTGCTCCAGTGCATGCAGAGAGAGGGGCAGGGAGCAGCGGCAGTGGGGACGATGTGCCTGGCAGCTCTTCTAGGAAACCTGCTTGCTTAGCTCCGGTCTGGTGTGTGAACTGAAATATTATGGGCAGCAACTGTGCCGGGCTCGCACCCAGTGCCGACTGCGTGTTCCGCCAGTGCCGAGCATCTTTGCTTTCTCCGGGGATGCTGCAACAAGATGCCCAGGACCCCTGTGGTTTGCTGCCTGGGAGGTTTTGGGGGCTGTGAGGGGGGAGGTGCTGCCTTTTGAGCACCCTTGCACCATGGCTCTGGCACGGGTGAGGAGCTGAAGGATGGTTTGAGACCGTTCTGCAAGTGTTTGGGCTTTGGAAATAAAACTCCTGGGAGAAACGTGTTTGGGTGCTGAGGATGAGCATCCCCAGAGAGCCCCTAACAGCGGACCCAGCAGCTCCTTCAGGCCAGGGCTGAGCCAAAGCCGTGCTGCAGGCCCCAGCACCTGGGGTCCCCTTACTGGGCCGGGGTGTCTCTGCCATGGTTTCCCATCATCATCCTCAGGGTAGGCAGATATTTGCTCCTACTTCTTATTCCTGACAGCATGTGGGGTCGCAGCCGTGGCACAGGCTCCTGAGGTGCTGGGTACTGGCTCCCCCAGAGAGGCGGTTACGACAAAAGATGGCAAGCAGAGCTGGAGACCATCACGGAGCCTTGGTTTGTCCCTGCTGGGAAGGGCTTTGCTGTCTTTGTCCCGCTGTGGGAGCCATCCTTATAGCAAGCAATCCCAGGGAGAAGGAGCACCGAGGATTTCTAAGGCCCTAATTAAAAAGAGTAATTGGTTTAAATACCAGAATTCCCTTGCTGGCTTGCTGCTCTGGCTCCACGTAAGCTGCTAAGATGCCGCTTTTCCCACTGCTAACGTGTGAGCTTGTCCCACGGGGCAAACAACTGCAGACACGGGAGATTTGGGATGTTCCGCATGCCCGGGAGATTTTCCTCCTCCCCAGGGCCATCAGTCCTCCTGCTATCTGTTAATTTTCCCTCCCTCCCCGCTTCCTTGGCAGCACCCTCCACTGTCCCCATCATGCACCAGGTGAGCGCCACAATGAGGAGCATCACTCTGTCCTGGCCTCAGCCCGAGCAGCCCAACGGCATCATCCTGGACTACGAGATCCGCTACTACGAGAAGCTGAGCCGCATCTGCACGCCTGACACGAGCAGCACCGTGGGGTCCAGGCCAGCAGCAGTAAGCTCGGGTGGAAACCTCACAGCGAAGGGTGGGATGGGGGCACGTAGAGCTTTGTACGGCACTGCTGGGAGGCTGCTCGGATCCTGAGCTTGCTGGGAGAGGGGGAACATCAACGAGCTTTGAGTCAGGCTGGGAAAGGGTCCGGGCGGTGGGATGGGTGGTGGGACAGACACCAGGTCACCCACGCTGGTTCTGGAGAGTGGGAGCGATGTGCAGCTGGAAGGAAAGGGAGCAGTGTTGTGCCTGGAAACGCTAATTCCTCTCCCGTGGCAGCATTTCCTCCAGCACGTCAGTGCTCGCTGCTGCCTTGGCTCTGGTTATCTGCTAGAGTGAGCAGGGCCCTGGGCGTGGGGACAGCGTCAGGAGGAAAGGAGGGGGACGGTGTGGGCTGGCGAAGGTTATCAGAGTTGTCTCTGTCTCGGGTCACTGCCTCCCACCGGTCTTTTCGCCGGCAGCCGTCCTTCCCCGCAGGGGACACACTCTTGACCCTTGCAGTGAACCGTGCTGAGCCCAAGCTGTTCCATCCCTCCTGCATCTTGCCAGCTTTAATGAATTCCTCTAAATGTGAATAATTAGATGATCTCACCAGTGGCCCCTTTTCAGAAAATCACTGGGGAACGTTGCAAAAAATGAGATTCGAGATGCATGAGGTTTCCACCAGGGTTTGGCACCAAGGCTCCTGCCAGCAAAGCAGGGACCGTCGGGGCTGGGGTTCTCCTCAGAGGCAACTTGTCCTTAAACCTGCGTGAGTGGAGTCTCACAGGGCGCCTTATGCTGTTTCCATAACTGAACGACGTTTCTGAGATGTGCAGGGACACCGGTAGTTTGAAGAGGAGGAGTGTGCTGCTCAGGAGTGTTTTTGCTCTGGATGCTCTTACTGTTTCCCCCTGCCGCTCCGTGCTCTTCGCTACGGAGGGGGCTGCCTGGGAGGCCCGTGCTGCGGGCCCCCCCCCGCCCCAGTTCCCCGGCGGCCAGGCCGAGTTTGTGGGCCCTGTGTCTGTGGGATCCTCCCTGTCAGGGAGCAAGGGCACGCAGGAAGGCCTGAGCCACCTTGCCCAGGCTCCAGCGCTCGTCCTCCTGGAGCAGAACCAGGGCCACCGCTTTATCACCCTGCAGATAAACCTCCTCCGTGCCACCGACGGGGACGGGTGGGCTGCAGGGCCGGTCATCCCCCTCACCGTCCCCGCCGTGCCCGTCCCCGCTGACACCTCTCTCGCCTGTGCCTGCAGGACCACAACGAGTACAACTCCTCCATGGCCCGCAGCCAGACCAACACGGCCAGGATCGAGGGGCTGCGACCCGGCATGGTGTATGTGGTGCAGGTGCGAGCCCGCACCGTGGCCGGCTACGGCAAGTACAGCGGGAAGATGTGCTTCCAGACCCTGACGGACGGTGAGTCCGGGGTGGGGGGACAGGGAGGTGAAGGGGGGTGGTTGTTTTTTCCAGTGACAGCTTCGGGCTCTAATTGGATTAAACGAACTTGTCTCTGCAAACCTCTGTCCCAGCGGGCAGCGTGGCAAAAGCCAGGTGATTTACAGCAGTGTCTTATTAATCACCAGCTGGAGGAGTAATCTGCTTTAAATCTCTTAGCTCTTGTTTTCTCCCCTGCTATTTCGCTGTGATTTTGTCTTTCCTGTCTCCGACTGTGGTGGCAGTGGTCCCCTGCCACCGGCTGTGAGTCTGTCCCAGTGGGGTGAGGAGGAGAGGAGGGTTGTACACCCCTGGAAGAAGGACTCTGGGATGCTCTCCTGGGGTGCTCAGAGCCACCTGGGCAAAGATGGAAGGGTCAGACCCGTCACTGAAAGCTGATTTCCTACCCCAAGGTGGTGTGTCGAAGGGAAAGCACCAGCTCACGACCTGCGTGGCTTCTTCTGGCCTCCTTCCTAGGGTAGTGCTGTTCTTTTGGCCCCAGCCCTTCCCAGCACCCACAAGCCCTGGATCCCTTTAGAGACTGATAACTCATGGGAGGTTTTTTATTAATCCCAGCTTCAGGACCAATCCAGAAGTCAGTGAGTGAGGCAAAGCTCCTTTCCTGGTCCTCCTACCCCTGAGGCAGCTGAAGTCCCTGCAGAGAGCCCCGTCCCTGCTGCTGCCGGTGTGGATCCTGCTCTGCTTAGGTGACACCCATGGGTCCCAGCCCCTCTGGCTGTCTTTCCTAAAATTTTCCTTCTTTCCTAAAACCGGGTCAACTGGGTCACGCTGTGCTTGCGCTTGTGTTGAGGGCCAGCCAGGGCAAGAAGAGGAAAACCATGTGGGGTGACCGAAGGGAAGGAAGTGGTAATAAACCGCTCCCCCCCCGCCCCCCCCAGTGCCTCGAATATTCAAGATTAGAGAAGCAAGAAGAAAAATCCTGCCTCAAATAAGCAATTAATTGAAATTTAATAAGAATGGATAGTGTAGATTATTAAATAATAATTGATTGTTAGATGAGAATTTCTCAGGATTTAAGCGGCGTGCAAGAGATAAATCTGGTTGCTAGTAATTAACCTCAGAGTAGAAAAATACAGATAAAAAGGCGCTAAATGCTTTTTTCTGGAGTGAATTTTATTTAACCCTTGCTTGTGGCTGCTGGCACAGCCTGGCAGACCTTGCTGGGGACGGTTGGAGAGGGGGGTGTTTCTGGAGGGCTGCAGATGCCCCCAGGAGTCTGTCGGGGGGCCATCCGCCTGCACGGCTGTGGGTACCCACGCTGCTATCGGGGCAGGGCAGGAGAAGGGGAAAACAAGGGACACACACGTGGAGGTGGCAAGCAGCTTTTCTCAGAGTTGCTCTGGGCATGCCCATGCCTCCCTGTGCCGCCTCGGCTGTCACTCCAGCCTGCTGCCGGGGGACGCAGCGGGGGCTCGGGGGATGCTCAGTCTGCAAGGGGTGCTGGGGCTCTGCAAAAGGAGTTTGGCTTGTGCCGTTTTGTGAGACTTACTGACCAGTCTGCAAGCAAACCTGCAGCAGTGGCGGGTTCTCCAGGGCCTCTCTCTCAAGGTCAAGTGTTGTGTGGTGGAGTCTCTGGAGTTCTCTCCCTCTTTTCCTGGAATGTGTAGGAACTTTCTGTCTGTGAGACCCCCTGTTAAATTTGGTCGAAACGACCAACACGTTTATATTTATTGAGGGAAGAGAAACCCCAGAGACATGGACAAAGCCACCTCTTTGGGAAACTGGGCCCACACACTGTTGGTTTGATTTAATTCCCAGGATTATCTCTTCCGTATTTTTAACCCAAAACGCATGTGAGCTGAGCGTGACAGTCCTTCCCTGTGCAATGCAGCAGCAGCTCATCGCCTGCCTCAACCGACGCTCCTGCCTGGATCCCCCTTGTCCCACCACCTTCACATGGGAGCAGCACCCACAGAGTCAGAGAGGGTGTCACGGGACCCCTTCGCAGGAAGCTGCCCTTACTGCGTGAGCGTGCAAGGGAGGATTCACCCTGTCCCTCTTCTCTTGCAGATGACTACAAGTCGGAGCTGAGAGAGCAGCTGCCTCTGATTGCGGGGTCTGCAGCGGCCGGCGTGGTCTTCATCGTTTCGCTGGTGGCCATTTCCATCGTCTGCAGCAGGTGGGTCCCCGTGGGATGTTGTGTCCCTGGAAGGTGGAGGTGGTAAGATGTAGCTGGGAGAAAATTGGGGACCCCGTAGGGATCCCGAGGGAGGGATGGGGGACCCCCACAGCTGGAGAGAGTGCCGAGCTGCCACCGCTCGCCCAGTGTTGCTGGCAGGGGAGCTGTTTGTGGCCATCACCAGCCGCTGGCCCCTCAAGCCTGGCTGTTTTCTCCCCTCTTCTCCCAGGAAGCGAGCCTACAGCAAGGAGGCGGTGTACAGCGATAAATTACAGCACTACAGCACCGGGCGAGGTGAGAGGAAAGAAATGGGTGGGGGTAACACTTCTAAACCTGCACCCGGTGTGGGCCTCACTCTTCCACCTTCGTATGTGAATGGTGGGGTGCCAGAGACTGGGAAGGGTCAACTGGCTTTGGGCTGCTGATCCCCTTGGGAAACAACTAGGAGAGCCTGAGCTTGACAAGTGTCCTAAGACACCTTTGTGGTTGGTGCTATGCACCGGAATGAATTCGAGGTGTCTGTTGTGTATAATGTCTGCTCAGGTGCCCCTCCAGCAGCAAATGGATCGCTGGAAATGACAATAATGCAGCAAAGCAGCAGCTTCAAGGGGTGAGGAGCTGCTACCCGTTGCCCGCAGGCTCTGTGCCCTGTCCCCGTGGGATGTAAATCCCATTTATGCTCTCCTAGAGATGCCTCCCAGGTGCACTTTGCTGCCTTGCAGGAAGAAACCATCCCTGGATCCTGTGTGCCTGCTTGGGGAAGAAGGATAGTGGCGGCTCGCAGGGATGGGTGAAGGATGGCTGGGGAAGGCGGGGAGTAGGATGGGTGAGCAGAGGGGAGGGGTGGAGATGGAGCGATCAGCTTGGCAAAGGAAACCAGGAGGGCTGACAGGGGTGGAGAGGGTTTGGAGGCAGCCAGGAGAGCCCAGCCAAGCCAGCAAGAGCATGCTTGATCTCTTTTGACCTTCTCAGCTTCATACCGAAGCCTCCCAGTGTGATAGCGGGGCTGTGGGGGGGCCATAAACCTCCGAGCAAACAATAAACTGTTTTCCAAACATCACCAGGTGATACTTAAATATGATGGACCTGTGCTTTTCCTCCCTCTTTTCTTTGCATGTCTGCACTGTGGGTGACGGGGGAAGATTTATTTGATGCCTGATGGCTAAGCCCATGCTGGGCTCCAGATAGACCTTTTTTTTTTTTTTTTTTTTTTTTCATTTTTTCCCCCGTTTTGAAACATTCCCCACCCTGTGTGCATCCCTAGCTCACCCCAAGCACCCCAAACCCCAGGGTGCTCAAACCAGGTAGGAGAGCAATGAAGTGGTTGTCTGTGTTTAGTTTTTAAAACTGGGCAACATAAGGATCAGTGGCCAAAAGCTGGGGGTGCAGGGGCTCCCGGACACGCAGCAAAACCCTTTCAAGGTTAGCAAGCCTCCAGGCTCCTGGTTATTGCAGATGCTGGAGCAAAACAGGTGGGAAATTTGTGGTGAGCGACTAATGGAGTAACGAGTGCATCCTCTGGAACAAATCACCCACGTGTTTAGTGGCACGGCAATTACAGCCTCCCCGGCGCAGCTCCACCGTCCCGGGGAAGAGCTCCCCGGGATCGCCGGCTGCCTGCTGCTGGCAAGGACTTCCCCGGGTGGGTTTTGGAGTGAGATGGGGTCTATCAAGTTCTAATTTTTCATGCTTTTATCTCTGCCACTGCTTTGCCGGGAGCTTTGAGATAGGGGAAATAGGGAGAGCCCTGTTGAAGCGGTGGTGATTCAGCAGGCAAGGGTTTTTCTCTGTCCCGACAATATTTATTCCCAAGGAAAAATGATGTTGGGAGGGACTTGACGCTGAAGTCAGGGTCGCAGCTCAGAGCGCTTCAATTTCGAGGAGTGATAAATATTTTGCTGTCATCTGCAGCAGTGATACATGGCCCAATCCAGCTCCTAGGAGTATTGAGGCGATTTTAGGAGCGCAAAGCTCTCTTTACAGGCGGGCTTAGCACGGGTTGCCTTTGTTGCTGCGCCCTGGTACCCAGCTTTTTGACCAGCTTTTGCCAGCGTGGCGAGGACGAGCTGGTGGCTGAGGTTTTCAGAGATGAGTAATAATGGGTTTTGGTGCCCTAATCCTACTCATTCAGATGGGATGGGAAGCACAGGAGATCAGCAGGGAGCTGAGCCTGGTGCTTGCTGAGCCTGTGGGCAGACCCCGGGACGCGTGAGAGGGTGTTTGAAAACTCACCTGTATTGACAGTGGGCAGGAAACTTTGGCATTATTGTCTCCTTTATTTCTTCAATATTTTGATCACTGAGTCAGTCTCGGTTACGATCCTGTAAATCCCTTTGTAATCCTGGCTGGAGCATCAGCTGCTCTTGTAAAAAAATTTATGGGGCAGTTAAAGTGTATGAGACAGAGCCGTAAAGGGATTTATGAACTGGGAGATGCACAGATGGCTTCATTGCAGCCTTCCCCGCCCGCCTCCGACGCGCAGAGCTTTTGCCCCAAACGCCCCTTTTGGGGGATGAGGATGCTCCTGCCTGGTCCCTCCTGAGTCCTGGGCGCCCCGCAAGCAGTTCTCCCTCAGTGGCTGTTTTGCACCAGCAGTGCCCCGCTGCGAGGCTTTCATGCCTCCCCCCCAATTACTTGCCGGCAAACTTGCAAAGCATCCGGGAGCGGGTTTAAAATTCCCGGTGCGGAGCCGCACAGAGGCGATGCTGCGGCCCCGGGCACGCGGCTGCTCGAGAAGGGCTCTGGGAAGGGACAGTGTGATGGGATCGTGGCCCTTGGTGAGGTCCTTAACGGCGTAATCAAATGCTGTTAATCACCGTAAGGGCAAGGTGCCTCTGGCACCGGAGGGCCAGGCAGCGATTTCCTTCCTGGTTTCCTCCAGCGGTGACCTTGAGGGGCTGCTATGCCATCCCCGGTCCCCTTTTTGGGTGAAAAATGGCACAGGAGGCTGAACCCCCACAGGGGGACCCCAGCCCATTCTGGGTCCCCTTTGGGGGACTGGGGTACAGCGCCGGTGCCCTGCTGAACCCTGGGAACAGCAGTGGCCGCGCTCTGCCCCGGGGCTGTTCTCCCTGGCAGCTCTGCATGCCCCAGGTGCATCCGAACTCAATGTCTGAAAACCCCATTTGAGGGCCTGTTTTGGGGTTTTTCCCCCCCCCCCACCCCGTTTGAAAAGGATAAGAGCCCGCTTGCTGCATCTCCCTGCACCGTGGCCGGATCCTGCTGCTGCTCATTGCCGCCGTCCAAGGGTCCGCACACTTGTCCCAGAGGCCGGCCAAGCCATATTTTATGGCTCCATACAGGTTGTTGATTATAATTGCTGCACTCTGTCAATTTAGTAGGCGCCACAAAGCTATCAGAAGCCTTTTTGGATAAATAAATATTTCTTCACTAACACACGGAGCCTCGTAAAGCCCTCACCATAAAGCCAGATAATTGTAGTTCAGGTCTGTAACTGCTCCCCATCACCGGGGAGGAGGAAGAGGAAGGATAATGGCAGAGGAATGGGGGGCAGAGAGGGAGAGGAGGGGATGCAAGGGAGGGTTGGGTGGAGTGGGGGAACCGAAGAGGACGATAAGGGTCTATGGAGATGGCACAGGTGAGCACAGCGATAGCAGCGATCTTAGTGGGCATACGGAGGGCGTGAGGACACAGGAGGGTCTCCGGTTCTTGGCCATGGCACAACTGCTCTTGGTTTCTCTCCCTTTCGCCGTTGCTCCCATATTTTCTGCAACAAGGGTCTCCAGGGATGAAGATCTACATCGACCCCTTCACTTACGAGGACCCCAATGAGGCAGTCCGAGAGTTTGCCAAGGAGATCGATGTATCCTTTGTGAAGATTGAAGAAGTCATCGGAGCAGGTGGGAATTGCTGTCCCCTGCTGCCCATCCCTCCTCACCCTCTCCGCTGCTCCTGTGTGGCCAGACACCCACCTGGAGCAATTTTCTGGGGGTGCACACGTGGTCTTCCACTGGGGAACCCTCAAGGAAGCCTCGACACTTCAGGCTTTCCTGGGTTTGCGATGGGTTAGGGCAGATACAAGGTTGGTTTCCGCTCTCAGAGTTCCTCTGAAGTGGGGAAGGCTCCGTGAATGTATTCGCTGGGTGTCCGTGGGGCCGCTTGGGATTTCCTACTTGGCTTTTCCATGAGATAGCAAGCCAGATCTTGCTCCAGTCTGTGCCATATTCCCGTACATATGTATATATACACACACGTGCACGTATCTCTATGTCATCTGTGCTGTTTTTATTGCCATTTTTAAATAACTGTGTCATAGAAGACAAAGTGAGAAGCCAGGGGGGAAGCTGCAAAGAAGCAATGAGCTAGTTTGGTTGGGATCAAGTTCAGCGATGTATCAGCCGCCCTTTGCTGCTCATCAAGGCAAAGTGACTGCAAACATGGCTTAAATTTAATCCCGCCACAGGCAAATTTTGACTCAGCGGAGGAAAAGCTCTCCTGCTCAAAATGAGAGGACACTTTCTCTGTATTTTAAACCAGAGGGCTGCGATGAAAACAGCCCAATTATTTTCCATTCCAAGAGAACGGATGTGCAAAAAGGCAGTGGGGATTATCGACGCCGACACCTTGTATTTGAGGTGGTCTGTAAATGTTGGCGCTCTTGCTCTGCAAATCCTTCTTGTGGGGGTTTGTAAGAGCGGCTCCAGCCTCTGCTTCCGCTGGCGTCGGGCTCTGTCACCTTGGAGAAGGCTGCAGGCCCAAACACACCCTCAGCAGCAGACGTTGCCCCTTTTAAAGAGGGCAGGAGAGTAGATTCACAGACGAGAGCATTGTTGAAGTGTTAACTGGCTGACATTTCTCAGCCAGGTCTGCAGACCAAGCAGCTCAAGATACCATTACTCTTTGCAATGTTTTATGTAGAGGAGAAGGTGGTAGCGGATGGTCTTGCCCTTGCAGGGGAGTTTGGAGAAGTGTACAAAGGACGTCTGAAGTTGCCCAGCAAGCGGGAGATCTACGTAGCCATCAAAACGCTCAAAGCCGGCTACTCGGAGAAGCAGCGCCGGGATTTCCTGAGCGAGGCCAGCATCATGGGGCAGTTTGACCACCCCAACATCATTCGGCTGGAAGGGGTGGTGACCAAAAGCCGACCAGTCATGATCATCACAGAGTTCATGGAGAACGGGGCCCTGGACTCGTTCCTGCGGGTAAGACAAGGTGGGGGGCTGTGCGGGCTGTTGTTTCAGCTGTAGGATTTGGGAATGAGATGTTGGCATCCCGTCCTGTAAATCCCAGCTTCTTTCCTTAGCTCGGGAGCTGGTTGCAGTGTGCTGTACACCCTCAGAACCTGTGTGTTTTGGTGCTGGCATACCTCTCCTTTAATCAGGCAGGGCAGGGCAGCTGGCTAGTCCTCTGGGGAAGTGCAGCATCCTCCAAGGTGGTGGGGGTGAGCGGCTCTGGGCCCGCAGTGGGGTCTGCACGCTCACCCCAGTGCCTGCTCTTTCCTTTCCGCAGCAAAACGATGGGCAGTTCACAGTGATCCAGCTGGTGGGGATGCTCAGAGGAATTGCGGCCGGGATGAAGTACCTCGCGGAGATGAATTACGTGCACCGAGATCTGGCTGCCAGGAACATCCTGGTCAACAGCAACCTGGTGTGCAAAGTGTCGGACTTCGGCCTCTCGCGCTACCTGCAGGACGACACCTCCGACCCCACCTACACCAGCTCCTTGGTACGTGCCTCTCGCAAGGTTTTGTTTTGCTCGGCATCCCCCGGGCCTGCCCTGCACCCGCTGCCAGCTCAACCTGGGAGAAGGGTGCTGGGTGTAGCGGCTCGGAGCTCCTACCATGGGCGTGAGCATCTCGGGGAGGATTCCCGCCACATACACTCACGGCTGTGGTTCCCACCCATCATCCTCTTTCCCTTCTTTTCCGCCCTTTTATGAGTTTTCTGCTTCCCTCTTCCCCCAAGCACCTTTCTGCCCTCAGCAGTTTCCAGATAAGCCTCTTCCCTCTCCTCCGCGGAGGGAAGGTGCACAGAGGACTCCCTGGAGAGGTGGGAAGGGGAGGCAGGGAGGTCACAGCATCTCCCGATGGCACAGCGGTGGTGTTTTAACTCCCCCTTCCCCCGGTGCTCCGGGTCTGGTCTGCCGTTTTCTGTTGGAAACTTGTTCCAGGCATTAGTTAAGGAGGCAAGCCTATCGGGAGCTTGGCCGTTCCCCAGCCACCCTTCTCATCCTTAATTAACGCCTTCATAGGCGATGACAGCCCCTCTCTCCACCTGTCCACCCCTCTGGGGAACCCCCAGCTCCCCACCACAGCCTTCCTCCTGCCAGTGAGCTTGCAAGACCCTTAGTGGTGTTAAGGATGATGAAAGCAGAGGGGGATGAGCAACCTGTTGGCCTCACCTAGTCGATTAATTTAAAGAGTGTGCACTGGGTGCAAGCCCAAGGCTGCGCCGACTCCTGCAGAAGCAGTTTCTTGGGCTGCCAGGCTGCGCCCAGGCGCTGGGGCTGGCTCCAGCCTCCAAAATGGGAAATCCATGGACGTGCCTTTAAGGCTGACTTTGTGTTTTGGCCCAGCTGCAGCCCCTCGCTCTTCCTCCCCTGCTCATGGGACATTTTCCCCCACCCCTGACCTGCCCCACTCCTTGCCCACACCCGTCCTGCAGGCAGTGGCCCTGGAGCAGACACCCACAATTTATTTTTTGTTCAAAGACCCCAGCAGTAGCCGCTGGGATGAGGCATGAAGTACCCTTTCCTCACCTTTAGAGATAAAAGAGATTATCTCATCTGTGTTTTTATTTAATTTAGGCCATAATAGATCTCCCCGGCAGCTGTGAAGTGATGCTGTGACTGCTATTACATCACTCTGCCTCCCACAGCAGGTTTTTAGCTCTGGGGAAGAGGCAGAAAAAACAACCTAGCAGTTAATTTTTCCATTTGTAGTTATTCAAATCAAATTTTTTGCCATTCATCCTTCAAGAGCAGCTGACACGTCATTGGGAAGGCTATGGAAAACAATTGCGCTAAACGATTTACAATGCAATTCTGCCCGGAGTAAATACCATGCGTGTCTGCGGTTTTCTTTCATCCCTTGGCTTTTTCTTGCTGTTATTTCAGCAGTGCTTGCCCGGAGAGCAATCGTCTGTACGTGCTGCCCCTCTGCAGCATCCCTGCCCCCTTGGCATGGCCTCCAGCCCTTCCTGTCTGGCCGGGAGCTGGGACCCTCCCCAGCTTGATGGGGTGGCTGGAGAAGCCAAGCCTGATTTTGAGCTTTTAGGAGAAATGAGGGGCCCTCGGCCAAAGGCACTTTCCTATTCCAGTGCTTTCCAAGTCTCCTTCTGGGCTTAAAGGTGTTTTGCTTTTTGCCTTCCCCTCCAGAAGTGGGGCTGGAAGGACCTTCCGGCAGCTGTGGGAGCACAGGTGATGCTGCAGAAGATGCTCTTAGGTTAGACCTTGCTTCCATTGAAGGGCAAGGGATGGGGATACCTGTGGCTCCTTCCCTGAGATGAGCACTAGCGCAGTCCTGCAGAGCCCTTGTCACCCGATGTCTCCCTGGGAAGGGACCTGGGGACAGGCCACCGATGTACCGGGTCCTGCAGGGCAGCTGGGGTGGGATAAACCCTCGGATAAAACCCTTTGGTTTTGTTTAGCTAAGCCCTTTTGTGCAGGCACAAGATACGTTCCTGGAGGTGTTTTTGGCTCCGGCCTCCTCGTCTCTTGGGGTACCACCCGCTCTCCCTTTTCCCGTAGGGGGGGAAGATCCCCGTCAGGTGGACAGCGCCGGAGGCCATCGCCTACCGCAAGTTCACCTCGGCCAGCGACGTCTGGAGCTACGGCATCGTCATGTGGGAGGTGATGTCGTTCGGGGAGAGGCCCTACTGGGACATGTCCAACCAAGATGTAAGCACTGGGGGTCATCCACACAGCTCGGGGGGGCAAGGGGCGGGGGGTATTGTTCCCAAAAGAAAACCCTACCTGAACGGCTATCCGCTCCTTCCCGGAGCCTTGGCAGCGCTTGGTTTTGGAGATGAAACAGACCGGCGAGCGAGAGGATGCAAGGAGGGAGATTGGGAAGAAAAGCCAGTGGGCTGGTAATTGGACTTCAGGAAGCTGCAGGGCCTTTGAAAATGTTCAGAGGGTTTACGAGCGGGGAAAGAGCTTTGGTAGTCGGACTGCTGTACTCCGATGCGATCCGCCGAGATAATGAGTGGCAACTCTCTGCCGGGAGGAACTGCAGCGCGTGGAGCATCAGAGTGGAGATTAACCTCCGAGAGCCCCGGCTCCCTCGGAGCCTGGGAGCGTCTCCTCCTGCTCCCTTTGCTGCTGATCAAACGGGCTGGCAGCTGCCTTCTGGTTTTTCCCTCCGCGCCACCTCCGAGTCCTTCGTCCTCACCTGCTGTTTCCTCCCCCCGCTGCCCTGCAGGTCATCAACGCCATCGAGCAGGATTACCGGCTCCCACCGCCCATGGATTGTCCTGCCGCCCTGCACCAGCTGATGCTGGACTGCTGGCAGAAGGACCGCAACACCCGCCCGCGCTTCACCGAGATAGTCAACACCCTCGATAAAATGATCCGCAACCCGGCAAGCCTCAAAACTGTGGCTACCATCACCGCTGTGTGAGTCTCCCGGCGCGCAGGGGATGCTCTCCAGGTCGGCATCCCAAGCTGCGGCAAAAGGCTCCCCGAGCGCCTCGTGCCGCCGGCGGGAAGGACAGGAATTCATAAATCGCTTGCCAGGCGCAAGGGGGTCTCCGTCTTTGCTCTGCCTGACAGTCAGACAAAGAACATGTAGTTTTCAGTCGAGCAACAGCAATAACTCTTTGCTATTGATTCCTTACGGTGTGTGACCGTCCGGGCGTAGCGTCTGCTTTGTCAGCGCCTCCGTCCCCGCGGCTCCCGCAGCCGGATTACAGCGCGTGGGGTTGCAAAGCGCTGCTTGGCAGAGCTGATGTTCCCGTGGGACTGGCCTTCCTCGTGGCCTTCCTCGTCTCAGGCATGTGCTGGAAGCAAAGCAGCGCCGGGGGGGGAGCACAAGGGTGCAGGGGGGCTGGGGTTGGATTGGGGAACGTGTCTCTGCCTCGGCTGGGCTCCTGCGTGGCAGCCCCCCGGCACCGGCCGGGCTTGTCCCCAGCGGTGTGTCCCTTTGCAGGCCTTCTCAGCCCCTCCTCGACCGCTCCATCCCCGACTTCACTGCCTTTACCTCAGTAGACGACTGGCTGAGCGCCGTGAAGATGAGCCAGTACCGGGACAGCTTCCTGACCGCTGGCTTCACCTCCCTGCAGCTTGTTGCCCAGATGACATCCGAGTGAGTTGGGTGCTGCCTGGGACGGGTTGGGGCTGCGGGGAGGTGGGAAGGTCAGCTCAAGGGCACCTGCGGAGGAAGGGTGCGAGCATCCATCACACTGGTCAGCAGGAGCACGCTGAGTTCTGGAGGTGGCCCCGGTCGGCATCTGGGGATCCGTGTGCAGGTGCCTCCCTGCTCTCGGTCCCACCTCGCCCCCGGTGATGCTCACGGGGCTGCGCTGGGGCTCTGTGGCTGTTCTTCTGCTGAAAGGCATGGACGAGCTGAGCTTGCATCTTCATCTCACTTAGAGGCAGCAAAACAGATGCGCCAACCCTCGGCTGCCCATTGATATCCCTCTGTCTGTCTGTCTTCCAGAGACCTCCTGAGAATAGGGGTGACTTTGGCTGGGCACCAGAAGAAGATCCTGAACAGCGTCCAGTCCATGCGAGTACAGATGAGCCAGTCTCCAACCTCGATGGCATGACGTCCCTTGTTCAACGGGGAGGGGACGGGGAGGGCACGCAGCGGAGGGGCAGAGGTGGGAGGGGAGGAACTGACGGGCGCCGCGGGGCAGCGTTTGGAGAGGTGCCCCCGCTGCCTGAGGACTGTGACCGCAGATGACGGATGTTCCTGGGACTCATCTCTTAACTGGTGACTTCCGTTCCTCACCAACAGAAGCACACTTACCAATGTCATGGGGAACAGCGTATAAATACATATAAATATGTACAGATCATATATTTAAAAAAGAAAACAAACAAACAAACAAAAAAAAGCAAAGACAAAAAACAATGAAGACAAACCAATGTGCATTGGGGAAGCAAACCCAAACCCTAGAGACCAGACTCCAGTCCCACCACCAGTGAGCAGTGGTCGAAACTGAGAAGGAGGAAGGGGCTGTTGGGGAAGGGAGAGGCATGAGATGGAGCGTCCTGGCCGGAGAAACCACCTTCCTTTTCTTTTCTTCTTTCATCCTCCCTCCCTGCCCCGGCCCTCCCTGCTCACCCCGCTCCCCTCTCTGCTCATGGACCGGGTGGAAGTGTGCTCAGACGTCTCCACAGCTCCCTGCCATCCTACCCGGGTGCCGCTCCGGCAACTACCAAAGGACTTCGCTGACCACTGCATGGGGGATCCGACTCAATCCAGTTAATGTCTTCATATTGAAGAAGAGATGTACCTTCAATAGAAAACCTTGTTGTTTTTTTTTTGTTGTTGTTTTTTTTTTTTTTTTTTCTCTTTTGCTTGCATTTTTTTTTGCAAAAAGGAAAAAAAAAAAAAAAAAAAAACGGATTTAAAAACAAAACAGAAATCCATCCTGGAAAACGGAAAGAGGTGTTCCCGTGTGTGTGTGCGCTCGTGCGCGTGTGTACGTTGTCAACCTACCGTGGACTCACTGCTTGTCCGTATCCGAAGATCACCGCCGAGCCTGCGGCCGGCCGGTTCGCGGGCCGGGGGTTGGCCCCGGGGAGCGGGGGGGGGAGGCAGCAGGGGAGCACCCAAGGGCGAAGCAAGCGCTCAGCATCCCGCAAGCGAGGAGGAGGACGCCGAGGGCAGGGACGGGACCGGAGGAGCTGCCGCGTGGTTGGCACTGGGTTGGTGGCTGCTGGAGAAGGAGGAGAGATGCTCTGGGAAGCGGACTGCTAAGGCCTCCAGAGCCTCGGCGAGGCGCGGGAGATGGCTACGGAGGACTTTTTTTCCCCGTCTTGCGGACCTAAGGATTTTGATGTTGATTTACAGACTTAGGTTTCATGGCTTCAGAGGTAGGTCCATTTGTCTCGCGTACCTCTCTGCCCATCTGTCCGTCCATCTCTGTATTTTTCCACTCACTTCCTTAAAGCCTCTTGCAGTGAATGCTTCCCCATGTTTAATGTGATTTTTTTTTTTTTTTTTTTTTTGTTCCAACGTTGGCCTCCTTTGCAAATCGATCTAGTTAAAATTACTAGACGCATGTCAGTGTTTACACAGAATATTGTAAGACTGGGCAATCTAACTTCCCTCTGTGGATCGCGCCGAGAGTTTATAAAATGAATGAACTCTTAATAAGGCTTTTACTTAGACAGTTGTGTGCGAGCCGTAACGATCCATCCCCGCGCTCCTTGCAGGCACCGTGCTGGCAGGGGGAGCGGCGGCGTGAGGGGGCTGCCGGTCCCTGCTGTGATTTGGTGGTGCGGTGGCTCCTACGCGTGCGAGAAACCCTCACGCAGCCATCGCCACCGTGGGGCATCTCCTTGTGCCGGGGGGATGCCCCACATCCAGCTGTGCCGAGGGGGATGCCTCACATCCAGCTGTGCCACGGGGGATGCCCCACATCCAGCTTGTGCCACGGGGGATGCCCCACATCCAGATGTGCCGGGGGGGATGCCCCACATCCAGCTGTGCCACGGGGGATGCCCCACATCCAGCTGTGCCGGGGGGGATGCCCCACATCCAGCTTGTGCCACGGGGGATGCCCCACATCCAGATGTGCCGGGGGGGATGCCCCACATCCAGCTGTGCCGGGGGGGCTCCCCGTGTCCCTCCGCACTCCGCGTCCATCTGCACCATCGGATTGCCCAATGTCCACACGGAGAGGCCTCGCCAGATTTGCTTGCTGCCACCGAACACGAGCGGACGAACCTTTCCTCTGGGTGTGAGCGTTGTCCCCGGTGCTGGGGCTGTCGGGGTGCTCTCTGCCTTGGGGGGGAATGGACCCCCACGCGTCCCGTGGGGAGCACAGGCATGGTTCGGGAGGATAGCGGCTGGCACCACCACCAGATGAAGGACCCCGGTGACGGGGTGCTCTTCCCACCTCCAATTTTATTTCTTTAATCATCCGAGAAAGGTGCCCCACCGCTCTGCTGGAGAACAGGAACTAACAAGATGCAGGAATGAGCTCGTTTCAAAATCGCTGAACTCCCCCCAGAGAAAGAGGCAGAGAAAAAACACCCCTTGTTTACAACAGCAGGGACTGCTCCTCGTCCTGTCTGATAGACGATCACTAATACCTCTCGGGATATTCGTGGCCCAAATCTGTATTCCAGGATGTTGTCACACCGAATACAACATGCAGATGGAGCGGGCACCGTGCATACTAATATGCTGCCTCTCCACATTGATATTCGCTGGCGGAGATGGATCCTTTGTGTTTTTTTTTTTTGTTGTTTTTTTTATGATTTCTCTTTTATTAGAAGGAAGCTAAAGGCATTTAAAGGAACAAATGACAGCAACACAGGCTAAATATCAAAAGTCCACCTTTATGAGTCCCCTGCTGCTTGTCGCCCAGCCACACAAGCACCTGCGAGGCAGCTGGTCCTGCAGCCCTGCACCTGGGGCTGGAGGGACGATGCGACAGCACCGCAGCCCTTTTTTAAGATAAAACCTTTAACATAAAGCATCCGGTCCTGCCTATCCAACCCAGCAGATCGAGTACTCGCGAGTGGATAAGCTGGCTGTCCAGGTGCTCGGATGCTTTCGGAGATCACATTTTGGTTCTGGTTTCCCTGGGCAGACGGTGCTCGTCGCCTTCCCCAGCCCTCGGCTCGCCCGTTTGGCCAAACACCCGGGGACGAAGTGCAGCCGCTCTCCCCTTGCGCGGGAGGGTGGCTGCGGGCCAGTTTCTGGCCGGGGAGGAACTTGTGCTGTGGTCACCAGCGTGGGAAGGAAACACATCTGGGCCCCCGGGACTGCTGCTGATGGAGGGGGGGGAGAGGCTTTTGGCTTGGGGGGGGGGGGTCCATCCTGCCCTCTTAAAATCTGCGGGATGCCTTGCAAACCTTTGTTAGACCCTGGCGATGGGTAACTCAGCCCAGCGCTCGCCTGCTCGCTCTTCTTTTTGGCTGGAAAGCGAGGAAAAGGGCAGCCGTGCTGCGAGTCGCGGGCTGCCCCGGTGCTCCGCGGGCTGGGTGGCTCCGGGCCTGGAGATGTCCCCTCCAGGGTCACGGGAGAGCCCCGCAGCAGATTGACGGTGCTCAGGGCTGAGCGGGGAGACTGAAGAAGAAGTTGGTGCAAACAAATCCCTTCAGTGATGAGGCATGGTTGGCCGAGGGGGGTTGCAGTCAAGGGGATACCTGAAGGGGAGCCACTGTGGGCCACGTGCTCTCCTGCCTTTCGATAAAAGGCTTTTCATACAAACCAGAAGATTTCACCTAAAGCTGACCTGATAATGGAAAACAAGGGGGAAAGTGCAAAATAGCCATGTTTGATTTTTGCTTTTTGTTGAAAACAATAACGTAAAAAATTCAGAAGACTTCTGCTGGACCATTTTGTTTCTTTAGAGCTCTTCCTTTCAAGGAAAATAAGTTTTCCAAACCACAAAGCCTTTCCGTCCAGGAGCGACAGCGTTATCCCTGCCTGGCCGTGACAGCAGGGTTGCATGTCTTTGGCCTGGCCCTTCTTGTCTTTCATCAGATGCCAGGGTAGGAAGCACAGGGCACCATCAAAGAGGTGCCTCCTGAGTCCGGGCTTGCTGCCAACATTCACTTTTCTGCATCAGCAGGAGATTCCAGGGCGCTTGGCCGTAGCTGTGCAGGTCATTTAAGAAGTCTCCTCCGCTGGCGACGTCATGGAGGAGCGGTCAAGATGCTCCGGCTCGTGCGGAGGTGGAGCAGGAGCCACAGGCGGGGAGGGACCTGGGGCAGGAGGCTCTGCCTTACAGCCACTGCTGTGCTTTGGTGGGCCGCGGGGAGCGGTGCAGATTTGGGTCTGTTGGATGCTTTGCCAGTGTGGAGGGGCTCTGCCAAATGTGGGGAAAGAATCAGTGGGAAAAAACAACAAAAAAAAAAAAAAAAAAAACAAAAAACAGAAGAAGAATGAAACCACTGAGTGTGGTGTAAAAATGAAAGCTCCCGTTTCACATCTTCTTCTGATCCATGCAGTGGTTGGCGTTGGAGTTCCTGTCTTTGATCCCAAAGGGGAAGGGCTGGCTCCAAAATCACTTTTTCCTCCACAGAGTTTTGGTTTATACAGGAAAAAAAAAAAAAAAAAAAAAAAGGTCTTTCTGCTTGAAGTGAAGCAACTCCACAGACCTTTCCTCCAGGCTGGGATTCATCCATCACACAGGGTCCCGGGGCGGGGGGGGGGGGTTCAGCTGCCACGTGCCAGTGCTGGGGCAGATCCTGGCCCCCGGCCACCGCTCGTAGCGGCAGCTCGGCCGCGGCGGCGCTGAGCACCTCTGCGCTGAGCGCCGGTGCACGGAGGTGGCCGCTTGCCTGGGCCGCCTTCGAGTGAGCCCACCCCCCACTTGCCCCCCGTCCCGTCCGTTCACGGTAACGCTTTGCAGTTGTCACCTTCTCTACATTTCTATGGCAACCGCAAAAAACTCAGCCCTTTTGTGTCTTTTTCAGTTTTGGGGTTTTTTTGTTTTTTTTTTTTTTTTTTTTCCTCTGTGTTGGCTTTGTCTTTTTTCCATGTAGCATTCCATCAAAAAAGGGACTTTTTGCTACCAAAACCATGCTCTGAGCTCGGCCCAAGGTCTCGGTGTGAGAGTCGGTTGGCACGATGGTCACGTCTACACCGGGTGTTACCAACTGGCTTCACGTTGCCCCCCGCCCTTCCGCGTCCTCCGGTGCCAGCCCCGCGGTGTTGCTCCCCTCATATCCCGCCCCACCCCACCCCCAAAAAAATCCCCGTTGGCAATTCAGCTTCATCATTTCCCCCTGGGCTTTGCCGTGTCTTTTATAGAACCCCCATCATATCTGCCGGGCTGAGCGGCGTGCGATGGAGGAGGCAGCGGCTTTCTCAATAGCAGTAATTAAAATGAGATGTCGTGCCGCTGCAAGCAAAGGTGGGCTCAGCCACTCGCACATCCGAGGCGAGAGTGAGCTTTTGAACGTGGAAGAGGAGCATGTATTAATAGCATTATTGTGCGCCTCTTTCTAGAAAAAAAAAAAAAAAAAAGATTGTATTTTATGCCATTTAATGACCTTCAAATTAACAGTTCTTTGAAAGTACTTATGTATATTTAATTTTAAATGTTGCTGCGAGTCAGAGCGGGGCTCGCGATGAAAACAGCAGGCAGCCGGTTTTTAAATAAGAGCGAGCTCAGACCATTATTTCTGAGCCTGTCAGCCTCTGGTTCTTGCAATGCTCCTTTCCCTAGGAGAAAACAGGGCTGTCGTTGCCCTGTCCCCCCTTCCCTTCTCCTCCATCCCTGCTCCAGGAGCTCCCCGTGCTCCAGCCCGAGCCCGGCCGCATCCCCTCTTCTGCGTTCCGCTCCTCTGCAGGGCGATGGCATCTTCCCAACGAGCCGGTGCTGTGCCGGGGTGTTTGATTCGGAAGGAGGGAAGGGTTGTTTTGAGGTTGGTTTGCAGAGGTCTTGGCAATAAAGCCGGCCACGTCCCTGCCCACCCGCTGAGGACATCCCCGTGGGAGCCAGGGGAGCAGCACGGACGGCCCACGGCCTGGCATAAATCATTGGGCATCACTTATGAAGGTGTGTTTTTTTTTTTCCACCGCCGCCAATGCCGTTGTTTTGCGATGGGGACAGATGCGTTTGCGTTTGTTAGGGTCTGAATTAAGGCTTTTGCCTCTGATCCATAAAAGCTGCCGATACATTTGAGCCGCTCTGTGTTCACTTGGAAATCGTTACTCTTAAACATTGAATTTGACTCGGAAAAAAAAAAAAAAAGGATCAATGGGTTTCTAAGATGAAGAATGGATTTACAGGCCCTGTGGTGGGTTTTCAAGCTCTGGGAAATGTACCATAGCTCCAAGGCCACCCGTCCTTGTTAAGCCGGAGGTGGAAAGGTGGGCGGTTGGTGCCAGGGCTTCGCATCCCGCTCGTGCACTCGCCCAGGTGCTGCGTGTCTCCTGCTCCCGTCACCTCCCCGCTGCGCGAGGAGCCACCGCGGGTCGTTTAACGCCCGTGTCGTCACCTGCTTTGGTGCCTCTTCTCGGAGAGGTCCTGCCAGGATGGATGCTGATCGAATTACGGCTTGGGTTGCCTTCCAGATTATTTTCGAAGAGCCTGAAGGAGACCTTCTCCGGCAGTTCCCACTGGGTCTCCTCTCAATTTCAGAAGAGCCAGAAACTTCTCGAGCGATGATGGAGGAGAGGCAAAGTTCACACTGACGGGACTCCTGTGGCGAGGTGTTTCACCCCGTCACTGGTTTCTCTGTTGCTCCCATTCCGTCTTATGTTTTTCATAAAATTGGGTTGGGTTGGAAGGGGCCTTTAAAGATCATCTGGTCCAACCCTCCTGCCGCGGGGGAATGGCTCTGCCTGTCCCAGCTGAGCTCAACCTCCTCCAAAACCTAACTCTGGGAGGTGCGAGAGCCGCTGTCTTGTTGCGCTCTCCCATTTTTGATGCCCTCAGGCTTTGGTTCTGCATCCGTGTCTCGGGGAAGGTCTGCTGCCTCGCGTCCATCTGTCATTGGGCCCTGATGGGCTGTGTTGCCATCCCGGGGTTTGGCGTGGAAAAAGGAGCAGACACTCTTGCTCCGGTCAGGAGAGGGCCTCCTCCGCTTTGCGTGGTGGGAGGAGATGTGAGATGGGAACCAGGCACATGCCTTTGGGGACTCTAAGCATCCACGGCATTAAATCTGGTCCCTTGGTTCACGTCAGAGAAGCAGATCGGTGCTGGGGAGGGGAACGCGTGTGCCTGCGGTGACCGTGGTGACCTTCGCCCGGCCCGTTCCGGGTTGTCAGAGCTGCTGGCACTCTGGGGACAGTGTCCCAGGGCCATCTGCTTTGGTTGGCTGTCCTCCACAGAACAGCATCACGAGCATCCCTCCAGCCTTTGCATAGCTGCCCGCTCCCTCCCAGTCTGTGTCTGAGCATCTCCGCTCTTTCTGCTCTCCTTCCTCTGGCCGTCGGTGTTGAAAACACTGCGAAGCCCCTGGGTGTCCATCCCCTCCTGCGTGGCTCTGCTGTAGGGGCTGTTTTAGGGGTATCACTGGGTCCCAGCAGACCCCAACAGAAAGCAGCAAGTGGAGAAGAAACCAGCTGCATTGCTGGGTGAGGTGACCGTGGACGGGGTGAGTGGCAGAGGCGGGGATGGCGTGGAGGTCTCCTGGCCCGTCTCTGGAGGGAAGTGCTGGAGGAGGTTAATCTGAACAAGCCAGCTGCGTGCATTTTAAGTGGATTAGCTGAATTCCTCTCGCTCCCAAAACAGAGGCGCCCTTTCGGGGTGGACGTGGAAGTGGATTAGGCAAAAATCTACTTAAGGCTATGTTAATTCTAGATAAGTGTAGGGGAATTAATGCCTATCCACTTAAAAAAATTAATTGGAGTGAACTTTTCTCTGTGTCCCCGAGTAAACAAGGCTCGGCAGCTTTCCCTGTCCACCGGCCCGGGCTGTGGCTTTCCCTTCTCTGCTCTGACATCGCGCCGGGGGTGAACCAGCTCCTCTCTCCATGATTATCCTCAGGGGTCTCATTAGGCAATTGAACCCTTGCGCGAAGGTAGGGGGGAGAGGGCAGGAAAATTATGATCACCATCAGTGCAATTATCAATGCTAATTAGCGCCAGGCGGGACTGACGGCGGGAGGTGCAGACCATGCCAAGCGTTGTCTCAGGAGCAAGGTGAACCTTGGATTGGAGACGTGGGCTGGGGCCTGGCGGGGCTTCCAGGGGCAGGGTGCCCGCGGAACGTGTGCGCATCACTTTGTTGATTTTTCCCCACCACGCTCTGCGTGAGCTCGTCTCAGATTCCCCCCAACCTTCAATATCTGGGGGGGCAGTCCACGGCCAGAGGCAGCTGGTGGTTGGGGACTGAGGCTCCGGTCTTTTGGCTGGGGTTAGTGCCCGGGCGGCAGCGCCGTGTCCCGATCCCGGTGGTGCCCGGCTGGGGACGGGGCTCTGGGGGGGGCTCCTGCCCCGATGCCCCCGGGGGACGGCGCTGAGGTGCCGCTGCCCTTTGCAAAAGGGTTGGGTGGGGGCCGTAGCCGGGCCGGCGCCCGGGGAGGGCTCGCAGGAGTGGGGCCGTGGCTTTGGGGTGCTCGCAGAGCTAGGGGCAGCTCCATCCCTTCCCCGCTCCCCCTTGCTGCTCCCCATTTCCGCGGCAGCGCTCGGGGGGTAGCAGCTGGGTGCGCAGTGCTGTCCATCCTTGGATGGTTTCGGGGTGTTGGCAATTCTGCCCGGGCTGCCCCATTCTCACAAGCCCCAAAAAGGAGAGCGCCCTGGGGCTGGCGTGCTGCCCGCGCCCCGACCACGCCGTTCGCTCCCCTGTGGCCACGCTGCCGCCGACAGCACCTCTCCCTTTACGGGATGCCCCCTCGTCTCGCACGCGTGGTGGCCCTTTTATCGCTGTTTGTGTCGCACCAACACTTGAGAGGCTGAGATCGAAGCCCCCGGCACCCCGCGGCTTTGCAGGGGGCTCCCACGCCGGAGCACGGGGAGGGGGGAGTGATTCGGGGGCTGCGTACCTGGGGGATGCTCCACCGCGTTGCCCCCTCCCCGTCCTCCCCTGGCTACTCGTGACCTGCCCCTCGGGTCCTTTGGGGATCGACCCTTTGGGATCAGCCCAAATCACCCGTAGCTGCCCCCCCCAGCCCCCCCCCAGATCGGTTTTGCCAAGGCAAAGGGGACGGCTGCAGCTGCCGTGGGAGAGCCGAGCCGGCAGCCACCACCCCGGGGAAGGCTCCCCAAGAAAATATAAACCCCCAAACCCTTCCCCGCTGCTGCCGGGCGGGTTGGGTGGCTGCAGCTAAATGAGGTGGGGAAGGCTGTGGGGGGGGGGGAAGGCGGTGGCAGAGCTGGGAGTGGTGCCCCGGGGCTGGAACCATCGCCCGGCTTCAGCTTTAATGGGGCCGAATCCGCAGCCGATAGAAATCGCCGTCGCCCCACTGGCTTGGGTACAACCACCCCGATTTACCCCCGTCCCGGGGGACCCGCCTGGCTCAGCACCGTCTGCTGTGCCCCGCGTCTGCTGCCTCTTGGAAGACATTATTTGTATTTCTGTTGCCGCTTTTTTTCCCAGCTGTTTAGCTGGTCTGCTCCCGTTAATGCTAATGGGAGCCGTGAGACCAAATCTCCAAGGCCGGCACCAAAAATGGACCCTGGTGCATGAGAAATACACAGCGATATCTTTTCCCCCAGGCGAAGCTCTTTCATTAAAGATCATCTCAAATTTCTCCTACCCTTTCTCCCATGCCCCTTTTTCTGCCAAACACTAAATTACTAAATAAAAGTTTCAGTACTACCTGGGTTGGCTAAAAAAATGATTTTCATTCAGGATAATAACAGATTTTAATAGGAGTGAAATGTCAGACACAGCTGGAGTTGTTTTTTGAAAGCATCGGTATGTTCGGAGAGGCACAGAGACGCCCGGCAATAATTACGCCAGCGAGCCCCGGTTCTCGGTGGCCCAGCAAAGGGACGCAGCGGTCAATTGCTTTGTTATTTAATGTGGCGCCTTTATGTTTCCAAGGTGCAATTGTATATTAAAAGCATCTTTGCCTCTCCGAAGCGGCTAAATAATGGGAATTTGCTGTTGCGTGGCGCTTCTTGGTTGCGGGGTGAGAGGGAGGTGCTCCTGGGGCTGCTCTGCTGGTTCAGAGACCTTCTGGCTCCCCCCAGCAGTGGAGAAAAATGGGTATTTTTTGTTACATTGGAAAAAGCGATTTCATGGCGCCCGGTGGTTTGCTCCTGCTTTAGACCTGGGGGTCCTCATATTGCGGTGGGAGGGGGGAAAAAAAGCGTCTTCACTGCTGGGGGACACAGTAACTCTCCCGCCCCCAAAATCGAGTCTCAGCCTCCGCTCTCCAAAGCATCTTGGCTTCACAAAGAAACACGTCTCTTCCATTCCATTTTTTCCCCTGAGGAAAAATTGAGAGCTTTCAGTGAAATTGTCGTTTTTCTGACAGCATATTAATTAATCGCTGTTTTTTTATTTCCTTCTTTTTTTTTTTTTTTTTTTTTTCTTTTTTCTTTTTTCTTTTCTGCTGAGAGGCTGTATCTGCTGTAAGATGTCTTTGGGTTTTGCTGGGTGCATTCCCCGCTGTCTTGCGGGTGGGTTTCACGCCGCGGTGGGTTTCGGCTGCGAAGGAGCAGCCGGTGGTTTTGGGGAGGGGAGACCTACTGATTCTCACCCTCTTCTCATTTCCCTCCCTCTTGCCTTGCAGAGGTGTTGAGTCCAGCGTTGCAGCCGGGCAGCAGCGCCAGAGAGGGGGATTGCCACCGGTCCCCAGGGACCGCTCCCCCCCCGCCACCCACGAGATGATGATCCGGGAGGTCTCCGCAGCGCCCCGGGACCCCGTCCCCCCCCTGAGCCGCGGCATGCCCTGTGCCAGCCGGCCGTACCCTGTCCTGTACATAACCAGTGAGATGTCTGTAAAAGATTTCACCCCTTGTAATTTTTTTTGCCCTCTCCCACCCCACCCCCCCCTTCCCCGCCCCCTCCTTCCCCAATTTGTTGATTGTGTTGAAATTGTCGGAGTTTGTAACAGTAACTTTCAGAGAATATTGTACTAAAGAGAAAATTGCACTCAATAAAAATGATGAAATAAGCCTGATCCCTCTCCTTCCCCTTCCCAGGGGCAGCCTTTCTGCTGCCCGTTTCTCTTCAGCTTGGGGCTGGGTGGATATTCACCATGAATATTCATTTGGGGAACTGGCAGCGCTCCATCGCTCCTTGACTTACCTCAAATTTTGATGTCTATCAGATTTGGCTCCCCGGCTTGTAAATGAGGTGACTTTATTCTCGGCGATCCCTATCGGAGGTTGCTTGCTGCAAAAAGCCGGGAGAAGGAATTTTCTTGGCACGGGTTTTTCTGCAGAGTCCGTTTCGAAGCCCTCATGTGCAGTCGCTGAGGGAAGCCAGGCTGGAAATGCGGACTGGGGTGAAAGCGCCGTCCACGCTGGGGGAGCACGGCGGCTCCTCGCTTCCCCAGTCTTGCTGGAGCCTGCTGATCGAAAGGCTGATGCTCACTGTGTCCCTGCTTGCCTTAAGGATTACTGTAAAGGATTGCAGGAAAAAGGATTCTTCTTTTTGCATCAGCTACGCTCGGGCATTTTATCCAGCTGGGACCACACACCCCATCCAGGTGATGCCACCTGCGGGTGGCTGATCCTGCTGGCACGGGGCGATGAGGGCTAAAACGGGGAAGTTTTGTGAATGGATTTAAACATCAGCACCCTCCACCCAGGTATTTGGGGGTTCAGAAAGGAGAGCTGGTGCTGGGGGAGCTCTCGAGGTGGGGGGTGTGGGCTTCCCATGCCTCGTGGTATTGGGGTGACCTTACAGGGAAGGAGGCACCTGCTGTTTCAGCTGTAGGTGGGGCTGGCACGTCCCTGAGGTCTCCGCTGCCCTGTAATTCTCAGATCAGTGATAGTGCTGATGTGGGGCTTTCTCACGGCTGCAATCAAGAGATCTTCCCGAGTTCTTGCTACGTCTCCGGCGTCATTAAGGGTTGGGTTTTCTTGGGTTTTTTTTTGCTGTAAGGTTCTTTGAGCAAGTAAGTTCAAGGCGCTCACAGTGATGGCTCCAGGTCCCTGCAGGCTGGACTCTGCTGCCCTGGGCCCACATACACCCTGGCAAGGTTTGCCCCACACTTTGTACACAGGGGAAGAATGACAAGCCCGGAATCACTGTTTTTTTGGGTGTTTTCGAGTTTTTTTTTTTGCCAAGCTCATCCTGACAAATGAAACCAGAGCACCTCTGCCATAAAACCCAGCCTCCTGGCAGGTCTCGGACACACAAGAAGCAAACAGGCAGTGGCTGACAGAGGGCAGAGCTGGAGTTGTTTGTGCACCCTTAATTGAGTAGATACTTGATTTAATGGGCTACCAGTGTGGTTTGAAAGAATATTCACGTTTCTTGAATCCTCTGGGATTTGGGGTGCAGGGAGGGTATATCCCTTACACAGGTCGCCCCGAGGTGTTCCCATTAAGTGACACAAAGACATTTACAGCCAGTGCTTAATGTTCCCAGAGTAGCTTGTCTGGGAATTGCCTTGTAGTGGGGTCTGACAGTTTGGTGGCCGAAGGGGGCTCTGAAGGGCGGCCGGGGAGCTGCGGGGGGTCACTAGCAGAGCCCGAGCTGCTGCGCAGAGCCCTGCCTGTCCCGGAGCAGTCCCCGACTGAGCTGAGCCTCACTGACACGGCTCTATGTGGCTGCAGGCTCTGGCCCCTGCATTTTTATTTTTCTTTTTCCCCCCAGAGGGTAACCAGTCACCGGCTTCGCCTGCATCCCGGCTTGAGCGAGATGTCATTTACCAAGGCCACACAGAGTCCAAAAAAACTTTTCCTGAGCTTTGAATATAGATACAGGCAGCTGTCACAGCCAGAACAGAGACTAACTCTCAAAATGAAAAATCTTTCCTTCATGGCTCTCAGGCTTGAAAAATGGAAGCAGCGTGTTGGCTCCAATTACTCTGCAGCAGCTCCCAGAAATTTCAATATACCCCATACTCCGGCACACCAGTTTGGTGCCAGCCTAACTCAATCGCTATCATCAAGTAGAGTAACTCCTGATTTACCCCACCGCAAGCAGAAAATTGAGCCAGGACTGCTCTCAACACGGGGTGGGGAGGAGGAGCGCTGCCAGGCCAGCTCCCTGGGAGGCGTGATGCTCCGTGGGGTGCAATGGGGGGGGTTCACCCGTGGGGTCTGGTGAGAGATACTTGCTCTTACTCTGTTGCTGAGGGGCAAGGTGGTCCCTGCAAGCAAGGCGGAGGGCACAGCGCTGGCCAGAGGACAGCCCCAACCCAGGGGAACGGAGGAATCAGGGTGGTACCGGCTGCACAACGAGACGTGGCAGTGAGGGAAGGGGAGGTTGGAGACACACACGTCCCCGGTCTTCTCCCACCTCCCCTCCCTCCTGCGCTTGGCAATGAAAGACAAATAAAAGACAAGCCCAAGAGGACTATAGGCTAAATTGTAATTGGAGCAATATGGTCCGATTATAAAGTTATGTGCCAACCCGCATTAAATGGCAGCATCTGTTGGAATTATTGGAGATGCCTCATCGCCTATTAAAAGTGCTGGGTTTTTCCTGGAGGACAAGCCAGGCAGGCTGCAGCGGTGCCGGGGAGCCTGTGCTGGAGCCAGGAGGGCTCGGATGGAGCGAGGCTGAAGCTGCTGCTGTGGTGAAATCTCCTCCGGGCCCTGTGGGAGAGGTTTTTGGTGGGATGCTCTCAAGAAAGCCACCTCCTTGTCCCCAGCCAGATTGCTTGTTTCTACTTATCAGGTCGCACCGCATACACCTCCTCAGCAGCAGGCACGCACCAACGTGCGCAGCTTGCATCCTCCCTGCACCCCAAGGTGCTGGGGATGGGGTGGGATTTCCATCCTCGCAATTGCTTTTAGCTGGTTTCCAGTTGCCGCCTTGATGAAACCTGCGTGGCCACCCCCGCGCTGCCCCCAGAGCCGCCGCCAGCGCTGGGAATCGAAACCCCCAGCCCAGTTTCAGAGCCGGTTGGGCGACCCCTCGGCGTGACTGCTTGGCCTCATGCTCTGGCGTGAGGAAATCCGTGGGTCTCCGCGACCGGCTTGCCCATGGCATCGTCTGTGCCGGCGCCCCTGGGCCTGATGAACGAGGGAATGAGCAAATCGATAGCAACAGCTTCGCCTTGCAACACCTCTCCTCTGCAGAGGGTGTCTCCAGGCAGTTTGCGTGAAGCTCTTGGTGACGTGCTCTCAGCGAGGTAACTGGGCCAAGGGTGCAACCCCTCTGTGATTTGGGCTTGAGGGGAGACACCTTGGAGCTGCTCCTCCACCGTGAGCTGGGCTCCTCTGCCTCATCATCAGTGCTGGAGAGGAGATGGGAGGGGAGAGAGAGGGACAGGGAAGGGAGAGGGACAGGGAGAGGGAGAAGGAAAGGGAGAGGGTAGAAGAAGAGGGAGAAGGAAGGGGAGAGGGAGAGGGACAGGGATGGGGAGAGGGAGAGGTACAGGGACGGGCAGAGGGAGAAGGAAAGGGAGTGGGAGATGGAGAGAGAGGGAGAGAGAGAGGGAGAGAGAGAGGGAGAGAGAGAGGGAGAAGGAGAGGGAGAGAGAGAGGGAGAGGGAGAGGGAGAGGGAGAGGGAGAAAAAGAGGAAAAGGGAGAAGGAGATGGAGAGGGAGAGGGAGAGAGACAGTGGAGGGAGAGGGAGAACAAGAGGGAGAGAGAGAGAGAGAGAGAGAGGGAGAGGGAGAGGAAGAGGGAGAAAAAGAGGAAAAGGGAGAAGGTGATGGAGAGGGAGAGGAGAGAGTGGAGGGAGACGGAGAATAAGAGGGAGAGGAAGAGGAAGAGGGAGAGGGAGAGGGAGAGGGAGAGGAAGAGGGAGAGGGAGAGGGAGAGGGAGAGGGAGAGGGAGAAGGAAATAGACAGTGGAGGGAGAGGGAGAAGGAGAGGGAGAAGAGAGGCGAGCTTCCCTGCAGGCTCAGCCCTTTGGCAGCACCTCTTGCACCCGTCTGGCCCTGGAAGAGTGAGCAACGCTTTCTGCTGTGAGATGCCCCACGGTGCTGGTGTTAACCTGGGTGGGAAATTGTCTCTGCTGTCACCCCAGCCTTGAGGACTGTCCCTGCTGCTCGCGGGCTTGGGGAGGGGACTAGCTTCAGCCCAGCTCACGCAGGGGCAGCACGGACAAGCCCTTTTTTTCTGGTTATGCAGAAGCAGGAGGGCTAAAATCAGGGCCACGGGAGCTCAGCAAGGGGTTGTGCTGCTGCACCCTGCCTGGCACAGAAACGCCCTCTCCCCAGCCAGCCGGCACCGAAGAACCACAGAAAGTGCAAAGCTGGGCTCACCAAAACCCTGAAATATCTGTGCTGCCCGGCTCAAGACCGCTGGCCATCCCAGCGCTGCGAGGTGGTCATTCCTGACCCCAGCCAAGAGGATGTTCTGCCTTCCCTGGACCTCTGCCGCACTCGGCACGCGGTGCTGGAGCTGCTCCCGAGCCTTTTATCTCCCAGCGCCACGTGCAGCCCATGCATTATTTACCATGCGCCTTCCCAGCACAGCACTGCACACCGAATTATTCATTTCCCTCGTGGGCTTTTTCCATGGGTCTCTAATCAGAGTTTCTTAGTTCTTTATAAACACTAATGAATTTATTTCCCCGTGCCCTTATGAGGGAGATGGGGTACTATATCTTCTTTACACGCAGCGAATTCAGGCAGGGATTCAGGGACTTCAAAGCCACGCAGGCACTCCAGGAGTCTGGGAGCACTGGTTCGTAATGGACCGGTTGTGCTTGGCACCCAATGGGTTCAGTGGCTGTGAGCACTCAGCCGGCTCCGCGTGTCCCAGCAGGAGGGTGGATGATGCCCACCCTGGTGCTGGTCCCCATGCTGGTGGTCCCTCCTCATCTTTCACCCCCAGCAGCACCTTCCTCCCCGGGGGACTTGCCTTCCCTCCTGTATTAGCACTTATTTGAACGCTTGGTTCTGCAAACATCGGGGTGCGATAACCACCCGTGGTGACCCCACCATGGGGAAGCCTGTCTGCCTTAATGCTGCAGAAGAGCGTGCATCTCTGCAGGCCAGCCAGGGCTGTAATAGCTCCACAAATGCACATCCAGCTGCAGGG